GTGTGTGTGTGTGTGTAATGGGAGGATTCCTTTTGGGTGGAAAGAAACAAATTCTCTGGCTCCAGAGCAGAGTGTCACCTTCTGGGTTACAGGACAGAGAGTGACCAGCTTGAGCCCCTAATGCTAAGTCAGCAGGAGAGACTGGTGTCTGAGTTGGGGTGCCTCCCCTGAAGGGTCCCATCTGGAAGACCCAGAGATCTCCTTTTATTAGCTAGGCGTGGTGGTGTGTGCCTGTAATCCCAGCTACTGGGGAGGCTGAGGTAGGAGAATGGCTTGAACCAGGAGGTGGAGGTTGCAGTGAGCCGAAATCATGCCACTGCACTCCAACCTGGGTGACAGAGCAAGACTCTGCCTCAAAAAAAAAAACAAAAAACAAAAAAAGAGATCTCCTCTCAAGGTCTCTCTTTGCTGTCCCTTCCACACAGGTCTGAGTTCCCCCAGAAGTATTACTGGTGGTTCTTCCAGACCGTTCCAGGTGAGAACTCTCCTTGATCCATGAATTTCTGGACCTGACTGTGAGCTCAAGGCTCTGGGTTCTCTGCACCCAGAGCAGCCCAGGTTCACTCACTCAGCTCTTCTGGTGACCCAGGCTCTGCCCTCTGGCCTGACGACACTACTTGGTGGCAAGAGACTTAGGCTACTCTGCATTCCAGTCCTCCTCCCAGGAGCTCAGCTGGATTCCTGCTCCTACTTTGGGCTATTTCCTCCTCTAGTAGGGTTAGTGGGAGAAATATCTCCTACTCTGGACTAGTTCCAGTGGAATACGAGTGGCTACCTCTTCCCCCAATACACACACATACCGTAACAGTAGCTTTGAGGAGTACTGTGCCCCAGCTGCATGGGGGAGGGAGCGGGCTCTTTGTCAAGTCAGACAGAGGTGCCTACCCAGTATGCCTTGAAAAGAGCGCTTGGGGGATATTCCTAATTCCCTATAATCACCCATCTTAGAGCTATTAGCTGTGAATCTATTCAAACTCTCTTGAACCTATTTATGTTTTCAGTCTGTTCCTTCCTTGAAGTAACACAATTTCTATACTGGCTTCTCTCTGTGAAACACGGCATGGGTGTTTTTTTTTAATCCTAAAATGATCTGCTTTGAACTTCAGAGGGTGCTTGCTAATTCCTGCACACTGAGATTTAGTGGATAAGGCTGTGTTTATGTTCTCCTCTCCTTTTAGGACTTTACAGGCTTTGGTCAGATCCCTTCTTAACCTTTACTTTTTTATACTTCAGGGCTCTAATCTTCTTAACTTCTGCCTCTCTCCTCCTTGATCACTTGAGGGACCATTCTCTGTCCTCTCTATCTTGCCCTGGCTCCAGTATTATCCCCCTGTATACCCATGGCCTGGATCCCCTGGGAGAGGAGGGGCCTCCCACCAACTCTGGGTTGTATTTGGGGACCCTGGTGATGAGCAGGGACAGTGTGGTCCTGCCCAGTCACTAACAGTGCCAGTGCTCATGTTGTGTGCTGTGGCAGCCAATGAAGAGTGGTGCAGGGACAAGGACCAAACCTCGACTCGATGAGGGCAGGGCCTGCTATTTCCATTGTTTGGCCCAGAGGGCCCACAGTGGACATGCTGTGCATCCATTCATTCAGCACAATTTTATTTATTTATTTATTTATTTATTATTTTTTTGAGACGGAGTCTCACTCTGTCGCCTGGGCTGGAGTGCAGTGGCCTGATCTCAGCTCACGGCAAGCTCCGCCTCCCAGGTTTACGCCATTCTCCTGACTCAGCCTCCCGAGTAGCTGGGACTACTGGTGAGGTGGCGGGCGCCCGGCTAGTTGTTTTTTTTTTTTTTTTTGTATTTTTTAGTAGAGACAGGGTTTCACCGTGTTAGCCAGGATGGTCTCGATCTCCTGACCTCGTGATCCACCCGTCTCGGCCTCCCAAAGTGCTGGGATTACAGGCTAGAGCCACCGTGCCCGGCCCAGCACAATTTTATGTAGGGCCCACGGTGCGCCAGGCCCCTGCACTAGGCACTAGGATTCAGTGGCAAACTAGCTTAACCTGTTCCTTGTTCTTGAGAACCTGAGAGTCAGGAAAGTGACAGACAAAAAACAAATAATGACATGGGTGAAAGATTGGCTGGGCGTGGTGGCTCACACCTGTAATCCAAGCACTTTGGGAGGCCAAGGTGGGTGGATCACCTGAGGCCAGGAGTTCAAGACGAACCTGGCCAACATGGCAAAACCCTGTCTCTACTAAAAATAAAAAAAAATTAGCTGGGCATGGTGATGCACACCTGTAGTCCCAGCTACTCAGGAGGCTGAGGCAGAAGAATCATTTGAACCTAGGAGGCAGAGGTTGCAGTGAGCCAACATTGCACCAATGCACTCCAGCCTGGGTGACAGAGTGAGACTCCATCTCAAAAAAAAAAAAAAAAAAATCATGGTGACAAAGGCTATGAAAAGTGAATACTGTCTGCTGAAATGAAAGGTACCTGTGATCAGTGGTGCAGGGGAGAGAACCAGAGGAGAATGCTGGGACATTCTTACCCCAACTTGGGCAGTGGAGTGGAAAGGGGACCTTGGAAGCCCCAGAACAGTCCCCTTTCAGGGCACTGATCCTCCACCTTCCACCCTGTGTTCACGTTGCAGGCCTCACAGGGGTTGTGCTGCTCCTGGTCCTGGCCATCATGTATGTCTTCGCCTCCCACCACTTCCGCCGCCGCAGTTTCCGGGGCTTCTGGCTGACCCACCACCTCTACATCCTGCTCTACGTCCTGGTGAGGGCTTTTGGCTGTGAGCCAGGCCAGGAGGGTATGGGCAGGACATTTCCAGGGAAGCAAGGAGGGCTGGGACATTCGTTCTATTTCAAGTTATTTGAAGCATCTTCTTCACTTCTCAACATCTCTCTTTGAAGGTGGAGATGATAGTACAGGGCTCTCCAGTAGGATGACCCCAATATGCAGCACTTGGAAGGTCGGCTCCCTGGGACAGGTTTTGCAGTAGCAGCCCTGCCAGACTGATCTCCATTCCTCGTAGACACTTCCACATCACTTCTGCCCAGCTAGTCTTTCCCCACTTTGGGTGGCTGGTTTTGGCTCCTGGGTGGACTACCTGCACCCAAGAGAGCATCATCCTTTTTGAAGAAACTTATCTTAAATGGGTTCTGCCACTTTTGTTCTGATCCTGTTTTTTTGGGGTATTAGTCACACCCACTAAGTGACACCTGTCAGTATATAAGCTTGTTCAAAATGACTTCAGTTGGATTGTTGATCAAATGAAAAAAAAATTTTTTTTTTTTTTGAGACAAAGTCTCGCCCTGTCGCTCAGGCTGGAGTGCAATGGCATGATCTCGGCTCACTGCAACCTCCGCCTTCCGGGTTCAAGCAATTCTCCTGCCTCAGCTTCCCGAGTAACTGGGACTACAGGCACGCACCACCACGCCCAACTAATTTTTGTATCTTTAGTAGAGACAGAGTTTCACCATGTTGGCCAGGCTGGTCTTGACCTCCTGACCTTGTGATCCGCCCGCCTCAGCCTCCCAAAGCTCTGGGATTACAGGTGTGAGCCACCGCGCCAGGCCGATCAAATGGATTTTTAAGACTCTACCTATCCCCTTTCCTTCTCCTTAACCTTGGCTCCTGCCTCTCTCTCTCTCCTTGTTGTCTCCCTTCTCATGTTCCCTTCACCCTCCCCTGGGTTTCTCATTGGCTGCTTAGCTGGTTGGTTCTTGGGCTGATTCTGTGTCCCTGTGTTGTGGCTCTGCTTGTCTGCCTTCCTCATGAACAGAGGCATTTCCCCAAAGGGTATTATGAGGGCCTCACTTAGAAGCTAAACCAAGTCCCAAGGCTCCAGCTCTTCCCTGCAGCAGAACTGCACACAGGGCTCTCCTTTGTGCCAAGACAAAGAGACACTGCACCATGGCCTCAGTCAGGTTGGCTCCTGCTGTCTGACCTGCCTTCTCTCAGGTGCAGTTCTGTCTTCACTGACAGATAGGAGGGTCTGTTTCATCTTGCCTGTGGCTCAGCATTTCACAGTTCTGAAGATGACTACTTAGCCTTGGCTTAGGACGCTTCCTAGAACTGATGATGTGTATTTCCTAAGAAACATCTCTTTCTTGGGAAGCTGTGACTAATTTACCCTCTCTCCTCCGCTTCCTAATAATGAGTGGAGTCCTAGCATTCTCGGCTACTGCTTCTGTTGGGGGTGGAAATGATGTTCTTGTTCCTGGTGATAAAGCAGCTACTTTGAACAAGATGAGAGATCCAGAAGAGTGGCCAGGAGGGCTCCCTAAGACCCAGAGCCCTTTCTGATTTGTCCTGGGGTATAGGCATCACTAGGATTCCAAGCCACCCTTCCTGCCAGCAGGAAAGTCAGGGGCTTGAAGGGTGTGGCCGGGCGTGGTGGCTCACATCTGTAATCCCAGCACTTTGGGATGCCAAGGCGGGTGGATCACCTGAGGCCAGGAACTCAAGACCAGCCTGGCCAACATGGCGAAACCTCATCTCTACTAAAAATACAAAAAGTAGCTGAGTGTGGTGGCACATGCCTATAGTCGCAGCTACTCAGGAGGCTGAGGCATGAATCGCCTGAACCCAGGAGGCGAAGGTTGCAGTGAGCCGAGATCTTGCCATTACACTCTAGCCTGGGCGACAGATGGAGACCCCGTTTAAAAAAAGGAAAAAAGAAAAAAGGAAAAAAGAAAGGTGGAGGCCTCTATGCTAGGCTGTCCTCGCCAGCAGTTTGGGACAATCTCATCTCGGGGAGATCAGGGCAAAAGCACCCTCTTTGTTCCCACTTGTCCCAGGTGTGACCACTTGACTTCAAGCAGAAAGAGAAATTACAAGTAAAGGACCCCAGGATAGACTAGACCCTGGGGAAGGATGGCCAGGCTTCTGATCCAGGCAGGAGAGGGCAGGGCTAGCACATCAGAGGCTGGGCTGGCTGAGCCGCCACCCCATCCCACCAGCCAACAAGGAATCTGCAGCAGCTTTGTGGTTTAAAAGGAAAGCCAGCACAAAATAGGGTGTAGAAACAGAGCAGCATGACGTCACCCTACCATTGTACTCAGCCTGTTTGGATGCTCAGAAAGCCTTGAGGGTGGGTGTGGGCTCCATAATGAAACAGTGAACTTGGGGAAGGAAGAGCCAATTCAAAGAAGAGCTCAGAGAGGTTTAAGTTAGTCTTGTCGGGAAAGGTTCAAGAATCCAGGAAGACTTAGCTGGGGGAAGGGAACTCCTGAATGCAGACCAGAGTTCAGTTTAAAAGCTATCTGTTGGCCGGGTGCTATGGCTCATGCCTGTAATCCCAGCACTTTGGGAGGCCGAGGAGGGTGGATTGCCTGAGATCAGGAGTTGGAGACCAGTTTGGCCAAAATGGTGAAACCCCCTCTATAGAAAAATTAGCCTGGCATGGTGGCATGCGCCTGTAATCCCAGCTACTAGGGAGGCTGAGGCAGGGGAGGTGCTTGAACCTGGGAGGTGGATATTGCAGTGAGCCAAGATCACACCACTGCACTCCAGCCTGGGTGACAGTGAGACTCCATCTCAAAAAAAAAAAAAAAAGGAGAGAAAAAAACCTAAAAAACAAAAAAGAAACTATCTGTTGAGGGTCTAGCAGGTCCTAGCTCTCTGTAGGGCCCAGCAACAGAAGGGAGACTCTAATCCCTTCCTTAGCAACTTAGGATTCGCTGTGACAAAAAGTGGCACATGCATGAAGTGATCAAAATGAACACTTGATAAAGGATTAATTGCTGAGTGGAGTGTTCCAAACAGTAAGTTATAGGAGTTCATTGAAGGGAGTTTCACTTGGGCTAAATTGGCTAGGGAAGACTTTGAGGAGAAGATTGGACTTGGGCCAAGAGTCTGGGAGAGATAAGCTAAGCTTTGACAGGGCAGAGTGGAAAATGAAGAGCAATCCAGGTAAAAGGAAGGGCATGAACACAGACAGAAGTGGAAATGGTGATAGGATATTCAGGAGACAGAGGGGACAGGCCTGGCTGTGGATGGCCATAGGGCATTAGATGGTGGCAGGACATGCTGCTGGTGATCATGTGGTGGCGGCAGTTGAAACTGAGGGGCTGTGGCTCAGCTGAGAGGCCACACCACATGGCAGAGCATAGAAATGAGCAGAGGGTGACAAAACCAGGCTTGGGCAACACCCATGACTGGGGGTGGCAGAAGGAATGAAGCCAGTGGAGGACATGGAAAGCAAGTGGCCCAAAGTGGGAGAACCAGTAGAGCATTGTCGCAGAAGCGGCGAGAAGGAGGTGGTCACTAGTGCCTCAGGCTTCCAAGAGTAGGAGCCAACATGGCCTGAAAGGATACCTTGAAGTTTAGCCATTTGTGGGGCTGCTGGGCCCTCAGTGGGAAGGTCCTAAGGAGAGGTAGAGGCAGAAGTCAGACTGAGCCAGACTCAGGAGCAAGCAAGTGGGAACGATGTGGCCAAGTAGTGTCTGACCATGTTAGACAAACTTATTAGGGAAAGGACCAGAGCTGGATGATACTGGTCAGCTATTACATGGAAAAGGGAGACAATTTAGGTATTCTTATCCTGAAAAAGGAGAGGATAACTGGGGAAGTGCCTTTCCCCAACAGTTATTGAGTGCCTATCATATGCCAGGCAGAAACTGCTAGGAGCTTATAATGGCAACAGTCCCTACCCCTTCAGTCCAGTGGGGAAAACGACAGTAAACATGTAAATGAATGAGCAAGCAAAAGTACTGTTGGCTGGGTGCGGTGGCTCACGCCTGTAATCCCAGCACTTTGGGAGGCTGAGGTGGGCGGATCATTTGAGGTCAGGAGTTCGACCATCCTGGCCAACACGGCAGAACCCCATCTCTACTAAAAATACAAAAATTATCCGGGCATGGTGGCGGGTGCCTATAATCCCAGTTACTCGGGAGGCTGAGGCAGGAGAATCTCTTGAGCCTGGGAGGCGGAGGTTGCAGTGAGCCAAGATCATGCCATTGCACTCCAGCCTGGGTGACAGAACGAGACTCTGTCCCCCCGACTCCACAAAAACGAAAGTACTGTGGATGACAATGCATGCACTAAGAGAGTTAACAGGCAGATGTGGTAGAGAGGACTGAGGGGAGGCCTGAGGAGGTGATGTTTCTACTGAGACCTGAAAAATGAGATGGAGCAAGCCATGGGAAGAACCAGGAGAAGGGCATTCCAGGTAGGAGATGCAAAGGTCCTGAAGCAGAAAGGACTTGCCACGTTTGAGGAACAGGGAGGGGAGAATGGCTGGCAGGCAGAAGTCAGAGTACTTGCAAGGTCTTGCAGTGCAATGGGAAGGCCACCAAAGCTTTTAAAGCTGGGGATGAACAGGATAAAATGAACTTTTAAAAGTCACACTGGCTGCCTTGAAGAGACAGGAATTATAGTGAGGCAAGACCAGTGGAAAACCTCCTTCCACTGGAAGGCTCCTGCATGAGTCCAGGTGACAGGTGACATCACTTGGTCTAAGGTGGTGTCAGGGAGCTAGAAAACACTCTCATTCCTCATGCAATGCTACGGAGGATGGAGTTGGGAATGGTGAGGTTTTGCAACCTAGAAGGAGCATGGTACATGGTGAGGTGGGGGCTGGATATGCCAGCGGGGAAGGATGCAGGGTCTGAGGCCTGAGCTGGCCCCATACTCTGCTGTGGGTGTCGCTAGGTCTCAGCAGAGCTCTTTCCTCCATCCAGCTCATCATCCATGGTAGCTTTGCTCTGATCCAGCTGCCCCGTTTCCACATCTTCTTCCTGGTCCCGGCAATCATCTATGGGGGTGACAAGCTGGTGAGCCTGAGCCGGAAGAAGGTGGAGATCAGCGTGGTGAAGGCGGAGCTGCTGCCCTCAGGTACTAGCCTGGCAGGAGATCAGTTTGGTGGCACTGAGGGAACTGACGAGGCAGAGTCTAGACCACACAGTCTCCTGTTCGGGCCCAGTGGAGCTGGCAGGGGCCTTGGGTGGCAGGGACAAAGGAGCTGGTAGGGGCCAGGCGCAGTGGCTCACGCCTGTCATCCCAGCACTTTGGGAGGCCAAGGCAGGTGGATCACGAGGTCAAGAGATTGAGACCATCCTGGCCCACATAGTGAAACCCTGTCTCTACTACAAAAAAAAAATACAAAAATTAGCTGGGTGTGGTGGTGCACACCTGGAGTCCCAGCTACTTGGGAGGCTGAGGCAGGAGAATCAGTTGAACCCGAGAGGCAGAGGTTGCAGTGAGCTGAGATCGCACCGCTGCACTCCAGCCTGGCAACAGAGCAAGATGCAAGACTCCAAAAAAAAAAAAGGGAAGGAAGGGAGGGAAGGAGGGAGGGAGGGAGGGAGGAAGGAAGGAAGGAAGGAAAAAAGGAAGAGCTGTTTGCCAGAGGACCTGAGCCTCTCTCATCACAGAGAGCAGAGAAGCTCAGGCCAGGCTGCCCCTTGCCCAGCTGACCCTCAGCCCCAGTGCTGCCTGGCCCTCCACAGGGTGAGCTTCTGATGGGGGAGGCCTCCCTTGTCATATTCCAGAAGCAGAGCTGAGGCTGGGGTGGGGAGCTCTCTGGAGGCCACATTGTTGCTGGGTTCAGGGCAGCAGCCTCTCACCCACCGTCCCTCCCCAGGAGTGACCCACCTGCAGTTCCAGCGGCCCCAGGGCTTTGAGTACAAGTCAGGGCAGTGGGTGCGGATCGCTTGCCTGGCTCTGGGGACCACCGAGTACCACCCCTTCACACTGACCTCTGCACCCCATGAGGACACGCTCAGCCTGCACATCCGGGCGGCGGGGCCCTGGACCACTCGCCTCAGGGAGATCTACTCAGCCCCGACGGGTGACAGATGTGCCAGATACCCAAAGGTACCAGACCCAGGCCAGATGTGCCACATGCTTCCATATCCCCTTTGAGGGCCTTGGTCCGCCAGCACTAGACTCCCCGCTCTGTTCCTCCCCTCTGTGCATCTAGAGACTGGTTGTTCCAGATAATACCACAAACCCTCCTCTTCCCCTCACTCCATATACGTATCTGCCTTTCCCTTTCTCTCATTTCTGGCTTCCAATCTCCGGTGGTGGCCAAGCTTAACTCAAACCCACGCCCCTCCCTACAGCTGTACCTTGATGGACCATTTGGAGAGGGCCACCAGGAGTGGCATAAGTTTGAGGTGTCAGTGCTAGTGGGAGGGGGCATTGGGGTCACCCCTTTTGCCTCCATCCTCAAAGACCTGGTCTTCAAGTCATCTGTCAGCTGCCAAGTGTGCTGTAAGAAGGTGAGTGCCCCCTCTTCCCACCAACCCATGGCCCCTTCTTCCTTGTCATGGTACCCATCTGTGCCTTTCTCCTCTGCCTTTGTTCTTGGCTTCCCTGAACTGGGCAGGTACAAGTTGGTTTGAAACCTGGGGTTGGTGGTGGGTGGGGTGGTATTAAAATATCCCTAGACCCTGAAGGACAGAACTGGTTTGCGGATGCCTCCAGGATCCTGCCTGGTTTACAAAGACTCCTTCCCTCAGTTAGGGGTGCGCCACATAGGATTTGCTTCTGGGAGTTCCTCCAGGCAAGGTTGGAGGGGGTAAAAAAACCCATTCCTTCTTACAGAGGATCCCAGCACTTGTAGCCTTATTGGGCTGGGAGAGGGAAGGGCATGTTGGGTGGGGCACAAGTGAAACTGGCTCAGCTCTCAAGAGAAAGAGGAGGAGTGGTGGCAAGGCAGGGCTGGTGGGCCAGGTTGGCCCCAGCAACAAACCTTCAGGTCCTCACACGGGTCCTTTCACACCAGCCTGGACCTGGTGGCAGGTCCCTGCTCGTTTCTCTGGGCCTGGCAGGTGAGTCAGGGGTGCTGGAATGCGCAGGGCAGAAGCCCAGCCCATGTGCTGTCAGCATTCAGAGGGTGACAGCTCCCCTGCTCTCCTCTGCCCTCTGCTTCTTAACTACACACCCCACTTTACCCCTCTCGGAAGCTGCAGAGGGCTCCCCGCAGGGCAGCTTCCATTCGCTGGTCTCTCTTTGAGCCCATTCCCATCTGCCCAGGCAGCTGCTGTGTCTCCCTGAAGCTGCTCTGTGAAATGCCCTTTAGCCACTAGGTGCCTGGCAGCCTGAGCAGGAACCACTGGAGGGAGCTGTAGGACAGGCTGAGCATGAGAGCTGCTTCCCACCCCACAGACCTTCACCTCCCCATCACCAAGGGACCTTTCCCATGGCCCTGGGGTCTCTCACTTCCACCTCTCTGGGCCCTGGGCCAACTCCATCTCTGGCCTTAGAGCCTGGCCCTGTGGCCCATACACTCCCTCTCCCCCGGCTGTCTAGGGAGGGGCACAAGCTGGCTGAGGTCAGAAGAGTTCTGTTGGTATAGACACCCCTGGGATGTAGGGAGGCTGAGCTGAGCTGGGTCCTGAGCTCCAGCCATGTGTCCCCAGATCTACTTCATCTGGGTGACGCGGACCCAGCGTCAGTTTGAGTGGCTGGCTGACATCATCCGAGAGGTGGAGGAGAATGACCACCAGGACCTGGTGTCTGTGCACATCTACATCACCCAGCTGGCTGAGAAGTTCGACCTCAGGACCACCATGCTGGTATGTCAGGGCCCACCAGGAGGGTATGTGGGCCACTGTCTGAGCTAGGAGTTGATCCTAGCCGTGCGTGGCTGAACTTTGTTCCACCCTTCTCTACCATAGTACATCTGTGAACGGCACTTCCAGAAGGTTCTGAACCGGAGTCTATTCACGGGCCTGCGTTCCATCACCCACTTTGGCCGCCCCCCTTTTGAGTCCTTCTTCAACTCCCTGCAGGAGGTCCACCCCCAGGTCAGTCCAACCCATATCCAGGTTCACTTCCTCTTTATCATTTGGGGTCTGAGCAAAGCTCCCAAACCTGCCCCATCAAGGAAGAAACTGACTGCCGATGAGAACCCATCCCCTGGGAGATTGGTGGGGTAACGGAATGGAAAGGATAGGTGGGGGTCACTCTTAGGTGCTAAGGAAGGAGGCGGGCAATAGGGACTTGCCATCTCTGAAGCCATGATGTATTGTCCAGAAGGAAGAGCTCAATCATTGAGCTAGTCCTCGCCATAAACTCAGGGCTACCCTCACCAATACTGAGTCAGTCCTCACCCTGGACACTGACAGAACCTTTACCATGAGCACTGGGCTAGTCACTACTCACAAATACTGGGCTAGCCCTCCATGAGACACTGAGCTGTTCTTCAACTTTAACACTGATTAACCCAACCCCTATTAGCAATGTTGATCTAGCACTTAGCAAAATTCCACTAGACTTATAAACACTGAGCCAGCCCTCACCATGCAAACCATCAGGAGCCCTGCTGGCTTGCTTTTTTTTTTTTTAAAAAAAAGAATGGGTATTGCTCTGTTGCCCAGGCTGGAATGCAGTGGTACAGTACCAGTTCATTGTAACCTCCAACTCCTTGGTGCAAGCAATCCTCCCGCCTCAGCCTCCCAAGTAGCTGGGACTACAGGAGTGTACCACTATGCCCGGTTAATTAAAAAAAAAAATTAGAGACAGGGATCTTGATATGTTGCCCAGGTTGGTCTTGAACTGAGGAGTTACCCCTTCCTCTGAACATTGAGTTATTCCTGCCGCTGAACACTGAGCTACCTCTGCCTCTGAGCAACGAGCTAGCCTTCACTTATTCCTCCTGCAACAGGTCCGGAAGATCGGGGTGTTTAGCTGTGGCCCCCCTGGCATGACCAAGAATGTGGAAAAGGCCTGTCAGCTCATCAACAGGCAGGACCGGACTCACTTCTCCCACCATTATGAGAACTTCTAGGCCCCTGCCCAGGGGTTCTGCCCACTGCCCAGTTGAGCAGAGGTTTGGGCCCACAGCTCACCTCTGTTCTTCCTATTTCTGGCTGCCTCAGCCTTCTCTCATTTCTCACCTCCCAACCTTGTTCCAGGTGGCCATGGTCAGTCACCAGGTGTGGGCTCAGGGACCTCCAGGCCCAGGATGTATCTCAGCCTGGAGAAATGGTGGGGGAGGGGGGCCGTGTCTAGGGTCTAGAGTGAGAAGTAGGGGAGCTACTGGTTTGGGGCAAAGTAAAACCTCTGTTTCCAAACTTCAGAAACAAATCTCAAAAGACAAACTGACCTGACAAGTACCATGTGTGTGCAGGTCTGTATGTGTGTTGGGGTGGCGAGTGTAAGGATGCATTGGGAGCATGGATGCTGGCATCTTAGAACCCTCCCTACTCCCAGACCTCCTCCTCTTCTGGGGTCCCCACTGTCAGAAGGGCTGGCAATTGCCTTGCACCAGGTAGAGGCTGGACCCATGGCAAGCCATTTACAGAAACTCACTCAGCACCACAGTCTAACACCACGACTGATTTCACCCAAGATTTTAAGCACGTTCTTTCATCAGACCCTGGCCCAATACCTATGTATGCAATGCTCCTCAGCCCTCTTCTCCCTGCTCCAGTAGTCTCCCTTACAAATAAATCACTTTTCTGTGTTCAGGGTTTCTTTATTCTGCCCTAGAACCGGATGGGGCATGGGGAGAGGAAGCCACTCACCCAACCAGCTCACCAGGCTGACCCAGACATCTCTCAAGCTGGCCAGTGTCCTGAGTAAAGGAGCTGGCCCAAGGTAAAGCGCCCCAGCTAGAGATCCCTTCCCCAGCCCAGGGGTGCCCTTCCTGACAGAGGGTCTGTCAGCCACTAGTGTGAGGCCTGGTGAGCCTGCTCAGGAGGGGCAGAGAGGGTGTGGAAGCTTCTGGAGGAGGTGGGCTGGGGAAGAGAACGCGGGAGGGGCAGACTCAGCTGGAGCCTATAGGGAGCCAGAGCCACCTGGCTTTTTCCAGGACCTCAGTCACTCCCAGCCATTCTCTGAGCAAAGGGAGAGTTGGGCACCCGTGCCTACATGGCTCTTCCAGGCAGTGAGATGAGGGATGAGGGCAAGGAGACAAATGAACACATCACCCAACCTCTCTGGCCTGTTTTCCCATCTGCAAAATGGCTGGATGCTCTCCTAGTCGTCTTAAAGACAGGACAACCCTCTGAGGGACCTTTTTTTTTTTTTTTTGGAGACAGAGTTTTGCTCTTGTTGCCCAGGCTGGAGTGCAACAGCACGATCTCGGCTCACCGCAACCTCTGCCTCCCGAGTTCAAGCAATTTCTCCTGCCTCAGCCTCCCGAGTAGCTGGGATTACAGGCATGCACCACCAGGTCCGGATAATTTTGTATTTTTAGTAGAGACTGGGTTTCTCCACGTTGGTCAGGCTGGCCTCGAACTCCCGACCTAAGGCGATCCACCAACCTCGGACTCCCAAAGTGCTGGGATTACAGGCGTGAGCCACCGCGCCCGGCAAGAGAGTGCCCAATTTAAACGCCTACATACCACATATCCTCAATTTTGAGAAAACAGCCACTGGTTTAGAAACTCTCAAGTACTGTGATTCACAGCACACTTTGGAGGTTGCATGTTTAGGTTCTGGAAGAGGCCCTCGGACGGCCCTTTGGCGCAGTGGTCCCCGGAAGGTGCCTGCCCAGCACGTCCGGGGGGTCCTGACCAGCCTGCCCGCGGGATGGGGCGGGCCTGAGAGCCGCTCCGCCTGGCGGCCCAGTGGGCCTTCCCCGGCCGACCCACAGGCCTGGACGGGTTCCAGCGGTGGGCGCCGGCCGGGGTGCGGTCTAGGCCGCGGGCCGGTGGTTAGGGGCTCGCAGGCCGGCCCCGCCCGCGGGTCTGTCCGGGACAAACCCTTCCGTCAGGGGGGCGAGGGAGGCGCGGCAGGCCCTCAGTTCCTTGGCCAAGGAGACAAGCGCGGCCCCCGCGGCCCGCCCCGCCAGCTTTCCCGCCTCCGCCGGCGCGCGGCTTCCGCGTGGCAGGCCGCTCCGCTCCCCGGCCTGGCGCGCTGCCTCTTTGTCTCTCCGCGCCTCCCCTCCTCCCAGACAAATGGCTGTTGGCAGGAAATTGGACGCGCTCCGGGGAAGCCGCGCGCCGCGGGGAGGGGGCGCCGCGCGGCCAGCGGGCCTTGGGTGCCCCCAGCCAGGGCGGGGGCGGCGGCGATGTTTTGACATCTCGTCAAAGAAAGGAACTTGATGCTTCGAAAGTGCTTTTCACAGCCGGGCTGTGTCTGCTCCAGAGCTGATTTATAAGCAGAATCCGCGCTCTCTTCTCCGCTCCCTCCCCCGTCAGCCCGGGGACGGCGCCAGAGGCGCGGGCGCGGCTGTGCCCGGCAGGATCGGGTTTATTTATTGCCTCTGGCCCGGAGCCGGGGCGGCCTGGGGACTGCACAGTTCCCTCTGCCCGAGCCCCTCCCCTTATCTCCCCACCCCCCAAAGCCGGCTGCTTCCCAGGGGCCTGCCTTCCCCAAACCCCAACAGACTCTGGGAGGAGCCTTCCGACGGTCTAGGGTGGAAGTCGGGGACGGAGGCAGAGAGATGGTCAGGCGCCCCATGGGGCCGAATTCTGCTCCACCTCGCAGGGACCCAGTGGGGAGAAGATGGTGGTGGTGGAGGTCGCCACCTCTGCCCTAAGGTCGGAAAGGAGCCGGAGCTGCCAATCTGAAACTCCCTACGACCCCAGCAGCTCTAGAACCCCCTTCCTCCAGGGGCTATCCTTTCTCTCCAGGGTTTCCTCTATCCCCAGCTCCAGCCAACCCCTTACTCCAAGGCCCCAGGAGCCCTTTCCCTTTAGAATAAGTTAAGGAATCTCCAGCTTCTGTTCGATACCCGGAGAAGAAAGGTTTGAAAGATCATGTCCCTGGCAAGCGCCACAGCCCTCAGCCAGGTGATGGGCACAGGGCTGGGTACAGGTCTATCACAGTGCCCTGGCTTCACATCTAAAGAGTCCGGATGGCCACAGGGTAGAGCAGGGACATGTGTTCAGCCCCCTTAATGGGTAGCTTGCGGCTGGCATAGTGGTGCACAATTTCTGGGACGCTGCTGAAGGGCGGGCTGTTCTGGCCCAGCACATACTTGTGTTCCTTGGTCCGGGACAGCTTCATGTGCATGAATCCCTGGCTGCTCCTGGGAAGAGGAGAGGAGACTTTGATGAGTGGGGGCTCTCCTCAGCCCCCCATCCAGCCATTCAGTAACCCTCCCCAACCCTACAGCAAATGTGGTGGTTCCAAAGCCAGCTGAGAATGTGAGGTGATTAGGAGAGATGGAGGTCAGTCCAGAAAGCAGGGGTGGTGGTGGTGTAAGTAGGTAGCACTGGGCATTGCCTTTGTGGTGAGGCCACTGGGTGTGCCAAGAATGTGTGTACAGGGAGTATACAGGGTGTGTGCAGGTGGAAACTGAGTGACCAACACCACCCCCGACCCCTGCTGGCCAACCCTGGGGTCCAAGCACCCTGGCCCTCCAGCCTCTGTGGCCAGGGCCAGTTTAACCTCACCTTTCGTGAGCTGTATGGTAGGACACCTGTGAGGGGCTCCTGGTGGCTCATGTGGAACCACATACACCCTTGGCAGGAGGGTGGACAGATGTGACAACCAAGCTAGTCTTGGTTGGGGCTCTCCCTTCTAAAGACTAGGGGGAAGGGAGAAGCTGATCTGGAAGACCCCCCAAAATCTGGGAGTGCTCAGCTGCCTCCTCCTGGGGATATCCCTTCACTCTCTTGCTCTCTGGGTCTTCGACCAAGCCCCTAGCTCATTTATCTGGCCCTTCGGCCTACAATGACTTCATTCCCTTGCTCAGGGACATGCTCCTGCCTCTCCCATCTCCCTGCCACAACCAGGAAATCAGCATCAGTGCCTGGCTCTGCCCTCAAGACAAGGACCCCACTGCTCAGAGCTCTGGCTAGCTCCTGAATGTCCAGGGACCCTCGGCCCATGGGAGGGCACGGGAGTACCCAAGTACATTTGTCTAAACCACCACAGGCTTGGTCTGTCAGGCCTCAGGTCTGAAACCCAAGCACAGGCAAGGAGTAAGGAATGTTTTGGGGAGCCCTGAATCCTAAGTGTTATATACTGCTGGCCACAGCCTACTTGGGGACAAGGACAGGGCTTAGAGATTAGTGTGGAAAGCAGAACCAGTGAGGGGGCTGCCTCCATCCTGAGGTCCACCCCCCAGAGAGGTGAGGCTGGCAATCCTCATCACTCGCCTCCCCTGTCTGGGTACAAAGACCCATTTCACCAGGCCCACAAGTGAGAAATCAGAGTGGGGAGGCTGAAGGGAGGTGACAGATGGGAGGAGAAAAGGAGGCCCCAAACTCCATCCGTCTGTCTCCCCAGGCATGGCGTCCTCAGGAGCCTAGCAGACTTCTGGGAAAAGGCCTGGGGCCCCAGGGCTGGGCGTGTCAGGGTGCAGGGTGGCGGGGGCCATCTGTAGGTCTGAGATAACTGAGGCTGACAGCTCAGGCCCTTGGGAAAAGGAGCCAGGGGCCTGAGGCAAACGGCCCCTGTGGGTGGTGGAGAGGGGAGGCAGTGTCCCCTGTCAGGCCCAAGGCTGTGGGCAGCAGCATGGGCCCTGCTTTCCTTCACCTCTTCTCAGTTTGGGGCTGACCGCTTCCCCCTTAGTCCCCCTGGGGAACTGTCTCTCCTAAAAGCTGCACATTGTTATCTTCTCAAAAGAGATCTGCCTAAGAAGGACAAGTGGCCAGAGAGCTCAGCAGCCATCTGGATAACCAACCTCCTGCAGAGGGGATGGCTGTGCTTTCCCGCCTCCTGGGACAAAGTCCCAAGGGTCCATTAGGACACAGCAAAGCCCCTGCCAGACCCTCAGGGTACTGGGGTTAGGACCAGCTGGGCTGCAGGACCAGGCTGTAGAGCCTTTTTGAGGAAGTTGTTTAATTACCAGTGAAAGCCCTTCCATTAGGGAGAGAAGAGAAACCATAATCATATTTCAGAGAAGCCATTTATATGTAAACGAGGCTCTGGCAGACAGATGTGGAGCCAGGTCAGCCAGGGCGGGAGCAGGTCTCCAGGCCTCCCTTGCCATTTTACCTCCCAGGCTAAGGCAGGCTGGCAGGGCTCCACTCTGGGAGCCAGACCCCTGGCATCTCCCCTTACCTTAGCCTATACCAAACAATAATATGGCACTGGTGGAGCCGTGGAATACCATGGTTTGTGGAGTCAGACAGAGCTGGGTTCAAATCCTGGTTTTGGGACTTTATTACCTGGTGGCCTTGGGCAAGTAACAAGCCTCTTTGAATTTATTTTCTGTCTATAAAAAAGAGATCTATCTTGCAGGGGAGTAGTTGCTTTAGAAATGGCATATAGGTTGCTTGGTGTGCTCCATGAACTTTAACTATAATTTTTAAGGCAATACACATTTCTGAGGTTATATACATCAAATTTTTGACAAAAACTCTTCTGGGAAATGCTTCTTTGATTTTATAATTCAAAGACTCCTAGAGTATGACAGCTGGGGAAAAAAAAGCGGTATCTATCAATTCATTTGGCAAAGGTAGAAACCGAGGCTTGGCGATATTAAGTGATTTCTCTAGGATCACATAGCTAGTTTATCAAATCCAAGAATAGAACTCAGGTTACCTGACTAGAGTCCGGCACTTTTTCT